TTATTTTAAGCTGAAGACATTTGAGATTCAAGAACACATGTTGGAACTTCCCTTATCTGACTAAAAGCAGCAACTTGTGGGAAATGAGGCTGCCATAAATCTTCTCTCCAAAAAAAAAAAAAAAAATCTTCTCTCCAGGAGAGTTTCAAGGCCATGAAGACAGAAAGACTGCTTTCACCTGCATAAACAAACATTGTCACAATCTTTCTTATTTACCATTTGCTCTCCTAAAAATTGATTTGCCTTTTCTAAAGAAGCCTACCTGTTTTTCCCACAGGAGCTTTCCTCCCCTTTCCCCACAAAGTTAAGTATGTAAGTCCCATATTCTAACCACCTTTGAGTTAGTCATCTTTGGGCACTCCCGCATGTATGTGCATTGCATATGTAAATAAACTCCTTTCTCTTGCTGTTTTATTTTCTGTCAGTTGAATTCACATACCTCCAGGAAATAAACCTAAGAGAGCAGTGGAAAAATTATTTCCTCCCTTACATCTGTTTTATGTGAATGCAGTTTTTGTAAACACAAAGATAGGACTTCTGGAAACTTCAGACTTTGGGAGCAGTTCTACATACATAGAAAAAATACAACAAAAAAGTCAGTACAGATGCTTTTTAGTAATGAAGTAGATTATTAAGCAATAATCAATCTAGAATCTGAAGAATTCTTCTATTGCACAGTGATGGGAGTATTGATTAGCTATCTGCTTGGAATAAAAGCAGTACTCTGATTGGCTACAGTGGTCTGTATTTGAAGAAGGATATGAAGCGATTGGTGTTTATGGGAAGGCATGCTGCCTGAGCAACTATATTTAATACTACTGCTCTGGGAAATGTGTGCTGTGATCCAGGTTATAAGAAGAAAGACTTCTCCAATGACACCTAAAATCTGGGTACAAGTGATAGGAAAGAGAAGAAACAAGAATTGGGGAAAGTAGTGAAAAGCTTCAGAGACAGTGGGGGAGAAAAGACATTGGCTCCAGGGGGAGCAGTTTCGCACTCTTACCCCTCACCTGCAGGTCCTGGTATGGAAATAGGCATATTAGAGGAGACCAGGAGGACAAGAAGGTATAGCCTTGGACAAAGTACAAGGAGACTTTAAACCCCAACAAGATGAAACAGAAGAGTACTGGCATCTGGCCACATTCACCTGACTCCACCTCACCAAAATCCTGATTATTATATATGAAGAATGTGGTGTCTCTGTACCAGTGTGAGGCCACATGATAGACTGCCACATGATAGCCGGCCAGGCTTTTAGATTTGCTGTTAGTAGTAAAAGGTGAATGTGGAGCAATTTCCGAATAATTCTCCTCTCATATATGAATAAGGATGGTTGGCATTTGATTTTGCTGTGTGTTTGAAAGCTGCAGCAAATGCAGTGAATGAATTCAGCAACAGGCTTTGGGCATGTTTTTGATGTACCAGGTGGTGATAGTTGGAGGTAGGAGGGACTTAACAGCATGGGAATGAGAGCAAAAATATCATTCAAGGCAATGTGCCTTTCAATTCCTGGTACCCCCTGCTGCACAGCTGCAATGTGGCAGGGTGGGGGAGGGAGCAGGGAGGATGGTGGGGAGATGGCACCGCTGTGTGCTGCAGCCTGCCCTGGTCAGCCAAACTCTGACACAGCAGCTGGAGAGTACTGATCCCATCTCTAGATTGTCATCTGATTACATATTGTTTTACTACCTTGATAACTGTTATCTCTTTGCTACACCTTGTAAAAAATATCTCTATGCCTGGAATGGCATGGTAGTGATTAAAAAGAGATAGGAAACACTTAATATGCTAATTCATTTGCATTTATTATAAAGAAGGAGATGAAAGTGTGTAACTATCTTTTACTATTGCTCTCAGGATTAATATATCATATTGCTTCTTTCATTTAACATTTTTACACGGATGGATTTTTCTTCAAAGTTCAAATATGTATAGAAATGTTGATAGATGCCAGTCACTGCTAATTGATGTTATGATTCTAAGATGCTGGCAGGTTGTTGGTAGCTTTGGCCAAGGCCCTTTCCTTTAACCTTTCCTATTTTGGGCCTTAGGGTGAAAATATTAACTCCCTTTAGAAAACAGAGCTAGGTGGCCAGGTGCGGTGGCTCAAGCCTGTAATCCCAGCACTTTGGGAGGCCGAGGAGGGTGGATCACGAGGTCATGAGATCGAGACCATCCTGGTCAAAATGGTGAAACCCCATCTCTACTAAAGATACAAAAAAAAAAAAAATTAGCTGGGCATGGTGGCACGTGCCTGTAATCCCAGCTACTTGGGAGGCTGAGGCGGGAGAATTGCCTGAACCCAGGAGGCGGAGGTTGCGGTGAGCCGAAATCGCGCCATTGCACTCCAGCCTGGGTAACAAGAGTGAAACTCCGTCTCAAAAAAAAAAGAAAACAGAGCTAGGCTTGAATCCCAGAGCAGCCACTAGAATATCTATATATCTACAAAGTATTTCAATGTCTATGTACATTTTGTTTTATTATGGTAAACTATACTTAACATAAAATTAACTATTTTAGCCATTTTTAAGCATTAAGTACATTCACACTGTGGCATTAAGTATTAAGTACATTCACATTGTTCTGCAACCATTACCATCAATCTCCAGAACTTTTTAATCTTCCCCAATTGAAACTCTATAGCCATGAAACATAAACTCCCCATTTTCTCCTTTCTCCACTCCCTGGTGGCCACTATTCTACTTTCTGTCTTTTAGGAATTTGACTCTTTTATGTACTGCATATAAATGGTATCATACAATATTTGTCCTTTTATGACTGGCTTATTTCACTTAGCATAATGTCTTCAAGGCTTACTTGTGTTGTAGCAGGTATCAGAATTTCCTTCCTTTTAAATTCTGAATAATATTTGATTGTATGTATGTACCACATTTTGTTTATCCATTCATCTCATTATGGACACTTGTGTTGCTTTCACCTTTTGGCTATTGAAAATAATGCTGATATGAACACAGGTGTGCAAATATCTGTTTGAGTTCCTGCTTTCAGTTCTTTTGGGTATATTCCCCGGAAGTGAGATTGCTGGATCGATCATATGGTAATTCTAGCTTTAATATTTTGAGGAACTGTGATATCATTTCCTAGGACAAATTTTAATCTCTCTGTGCCTTGCCTTCCTTATTTGTGAAACAGGAACATCCTTAACTGGAAGAGGGCTATCAGGGTTAGAGACAATGTAAAGTTCCAGCATTTCTTGCTTCTAGAGCCAGCAGCAATGAATAGTGTAGTTTCTGCCTAAATCTTGCTATTTCTCACTTTGCCTCTGCTCTTGCTGTCTCTGTTTGTAATGCCCCTTCTTGCCTGGCTCCCTCCTATGCATCCTGTAAGACTTGTTCAGGGGCTGCCTTCTCTAGAAAGTTGTCCCTGTTTCTATCCAAGTTATATTGCCCCTTTTTATGCTTTTATGGCACCTCTATCATTGTACTTACCACACTGAATAGGGATTATCTCTTCATTCTTCCATCTCCTGTTTGTAGACTAATTTAATACATACTGAAATATCTAACATGTGGTCAGTGCTGGAGATTCAGTGGTGACAGACACCTACAAGATCTATCTGCAAGGGGCTCCATCTGGACCAGTTTCTGAGGGTGTGTTCCTAAAGACCATCTCTGTCAGAATCCTTGGAAGTTCTGGGGACCCACGCTGGATCTGAGAATCTGAATTTTAACATTCCCCTTGGTGATTCTTATGCATACTATTAGCCTGTGAATTCAGAGGTTCCTTGAGGGCAGGCCCTGTGTTACTTCAACACTGCATCCTTGGCCCTGAGTGCAATGCCTGGCACAAAAATATTTGTTGAAGAAGGAGGGTACTCTGAATTGAAATGGGGCTGGAATCACTCTGCCTTTTCCCGACAAGTGGTGTTGTTGATTCCTGTGTTAGATGAGGCCCTCTTTTAGCTAATATTCTGGGAGCAAGTAATTTGATAAAGTTCATAAATATTCAGGTCAGTGAACTGACTTCTTCATTTAGTTTAAGGCAATTAGGGAAAGAATTTGGTTAAACTGAGAGATGGGCTAAAGGAATAGACTGTTTCTTGCATCCATGTTTGTGACTGGGACCTGACATTAGTTTCCTTTCAGCTGACATGCTTGCCCATTCTACTCTAAGTAAATCCCATTTTTCATTTTAGCTTTGCCCTTTTTTCTGATACACTGCTATTTTTTTCAGAGCTGAAGCTACTTAATCCCCACATATGGGTTCTGCCCTGCTTTAGATTTTTCTTACAGTCCTGTTCTTAGTGACTTAGTCTGGTCATTCACAACAAATCAATCTTTGGTTAGTTTTGCTATATCTTTGTCTGATTCTATTAATAGTCCTTTTTCTTGTTCCTTGTGACCAAAATTCTGTGCTATCACTTTCTTTTTATCTTTTAAGATAGCCCAGTTAGTCTGGCGCTGGGCTCCTGGATTCTATAGGCTTCTCCAGAATAATCTAGTTGGCTGGGTTTTAATTTATCTGCTGTCACGTCTTTGTATAATGCCAATAGTGTAGTTACTTAGACCTCTAGCTAACCCTACTCCTTGCCTAATGTAGGCTGGCCCACTTGATGTCCTTCACTTGTCCCAAGTCACCTCTGCACTTGGGTTAGTCTTCATGTCCTAGGCTTCTTTAACGGGACACGTCCTGCTTCAGCTGAATGCTGATTCAGACAACCAAAGACCAGACAGTGGCTAAATTATTAACATCTGTGCTTTTAATCCACTATAGGAGAAACATCCTGGTTAACCTCTGCTTCTCAGCTAGTTGTTCAAATGTGCCATTTGAGCAGCATAAAATATGTCACTTCAGAATGTTACACAGTAAGGGCATCTGTTTTAGCTTGGTCACCTCTTTTGGACCTAAAACAGAATCCAACAATATGTACAGCAAGTGTCCCCACCAAATTTTCTGTCATTGCATAAACTTTGCTTTTTTTTTTTTGAGACGGAGTTTCGCTGTTGTTACCCAGACTGGAGTCCAATGGCATGATCTTGGCTCACCGCAACCTCCACCTCCTGGATTCAAGCAATTCTCCTGCCTCAGCCTCCCGAGTAGCTGGGACTACAGGTGCGCACCACCATGCCCAGCTAATTTTTGTATTTTTAGTAGAGACAGGGTTTCACATTGTTGACCAGGATGGTCTCGATCTCTTGACCTCATGATCCACCCGCCTCAGCCTCCCAAAGTGCTGGGATTATAGGCGTGAGCCACTGCGCCCGGCCTAAACTTTGCTTTCTAAGGTGATTTTAAATGGAACTTTAAGAACATATCAGGCAATTTTGATTTACTTGTCTAGCTGTGCTTTTTATTTTATTGGTCCTAGAGGAAACACACATAGGCATAACATTTTGTTTCCCAGTTTAGGGAGTTCATGGACTTCTTAGAGGTCCACAGGCCCAGCCCCATAGGTCATAGTGACACTTCCTATGGGGCTTTATAGTTGTCATATCCATCCATGCTTATCATGAAGACAATTGATAAATGAGATAGACGTTGAAATAAATTAGAGGAGAATGATGTTAAAATTTCTTAGATTTATGCTGCTTGGCTTAGGGTTACTACAATGATAGTTTCTAAATGTTATATCTTTTAAAAAAATTTACCAAAAGGTACATATGCAGGAAATGAACTGGAAAAAAATCAGAAAAGCATTTATTTTTAACAGAATGTTATTGTCAGCATTTTAAAATTTATTCAATATATGCAGTTACAAATTACATAAAAATGAGTTTTGGCTACCAACCAAACATCATATTTTACTATGGTAGGGAATAATCAGTTGGAATTTTACTAAAATTCAACCTGAACTATTTTACTTGGAAGTTGAAGAATTACAGCTAGCCTAGTGGTTTATCCAATGTATAAGTTATGAAAAACCCTTTACAGAACATTTCATTGATTTGTTGCCAATTTAGTTCAGACAACCAAAGCCCAATGTATAAAGATAAAATGAACTATTATTTTGCAATATTTGTGACTTAACATTTATTACCTACATTATTCTTCATTAACTTTATTCTCTTGTGTAAAACTACTTTTTAAAATACATTATGATGACGCTTTTGAAGTTTTTCAAAGTGGTCTAACTTTAAGAAGATTGTGTATTTAGAATTCCCATACTTTAAAAATATTTATTGAGAATGAGGGGTGGGAAGAAGGAGAGGATCAGGAAGAGTAGCTAGTGGATGCTGGGCTTGATACCTGGGTGATGGGATGATCTATGCAGCAAACCACCATGGCACATGTTTACCTATGTAACAAACCTGCATGTCCTGCACATGTATCACTGAACTTAAGATAAAATTTGGAAATTAAAAAAAAGAGATTGAACTTTTTTTAAAGAAAAGATCACTTTGATAAGGAGAAAATCAATAGATTGACAGAACTTTACAGGTGAAGCTACCAGAACCATCACTCAGGCAAACTATCTTAGATTGAGATCCAGAGATGGCCTGTGGCCATCTCTGAACCCTTCCTGCATTCTTTTCTCTATACCAGGGTGCGTGGCATGCTTTTAAGTCACCACCAGTACAACCTCTGTGGAGAGCTTCAGCTATATTCTCCAGCAGCTTAATTTTTCTCCCAAGGTTAAACCATACACAGAAAGTTTGTTCTCCGATAGGAATAGGTACACTGAATAAACTACTTCAGTATTGCTGATCAGGGCTTCTGACCTTGAAACTGAGCTGCAAAACAAATGATCAGCTGATTGGATAATTAGTGAGGTGTAAAGCTAGGAATTCCTTGCAAACACACAGTCTATGTAAGTGTTAAAAAAGAAGAAATTTAGTTTCCGTGTTGTAATGACTCACTAGTTTTCTAGTGAAGGTCATTTGAAAGGAGGGTGAGTGGTGAAAACTTTAGCTGAACACAGAATAATTAATTAGAAGTTATTAAAACCTGGCTTCACTTTGGGCTTATTGTGCATAAGCAAGTTTATATATGCACTTGAAGAAACTTGATACAAAAAGAGTGAATGAAAAAATGCAAAGACAAGGACATAAAATAGGTAGGAGAGCAAGATAGCTGCACTTAATGTTCTTGGCATTATATAACCTTGCCCATGAGGAAGTTGGCATGTGGTGAAAGGGATCTGGAAAAAAAGGAAGCCAAAAGGGTCCTTGACTGAGGGCATTTGGCCTGCAGTTTATTCATTTAATCAGAGAAATGGACAGAAAACCAGGCCCTCTTACTCGTACATCATGGGGCTGTTGAAGATACCTCATGAGAGAGAAGTACTTAGAGGGGCTCTGCAGTGGGCTATGTTTTGGGATACTGAAGTAGAGGTGTTTTCAATTGTTATAAAACTTGGTGTGTAGATTACAAGGTCAAAATGAATATGTGATCTATTGGCATGGAGGTAGCCTGAGTATTGCAAAGAGCACATATTTTGGAAACAAAGGGACCTGAGCTCAAATCTTGACTCTTCAGCTTGCCATCCATGTGATCCCAAGGCAAGTGATAGCCACTGAATTGTAACTCCTCTTATAAAATAAAGTAATGCTAACTGTTGAAGTGTGTTTCCTGTGAAGTTAAGGAGGCTTAGTGAATGCAGCCCTCGAAGGGCCTGAGCCATGTATTCACACGGCTATCTGTTTTTATTAAGCCTGTGGTCTCCATTCTGATTTCTCCTCTATCCCTTTTCCCTTATGTGGGGTGGAACTGAAGTGGCCATGGGTATTTTTGGGTTTATAATTATATGTTTACTTCCTTTGTATGTAAATTTGTATTATTTTCCTACTTTTATATTATGTGTACTATTTTGCCTAATGAAAGCTTCCCAAATTGTATAAATTTCATGCCTCACAACCCCTGGGTTTGCCATGTTTATCTCATAACTTTATTATTACAATTGAGTAAAATAACCATGTAAAGCACATTATCAGTTATTTATTGCCAAATAACAGCCCATCCCCAAACTTAGTAGCTTAGAACAGTAACTATTTTATTTGTTCACAATTCTGTGGATCAGCACTTCAGCCTGGGCTCTGCTTGGTGGTTCTTCTGCTTGTCTGGCCTGGGCTCACTCTTGTGGTAGCAGTCAGTTGGCAAAGAGACTGGATGGTCTAGGATGGCATCAGTCAACTGTCTGGCAGTTGTCAGGCTATCAGCTGGTTACCTTGTTTCTCCTCCATGGGGGCTCTATAGTGGACTAGCTCAGAAGTGTTCACATAGCCTTTAAAGAGGGAGAGGGAGAAAGCTGCAAGACCTTTTGAAGTCTATGCTTAGAATTCCCACAGTGCCACTTGTGCTGGATTCTATTTATCAAAGCAAGGCATAAGATTAGCCCAGATTTAAGGAGTCAAAAGTAGATTCCATTGCCTGATAGAATGAGCTGCAAAGAAATGTGGCTGTTTATAATCTACCACAAGCTCTGTGCCTGAAATAGGAGATCCTGAAATATGTTAGCTTTCTTGTCTCCCTCTTCCTACCTTGCTTCTTATTTCTGCTGAGGTTAAATAAACAAGAATTGAAGAGAAGCTTCCATGAAGAAGAGAAGAACTAGACATAAATAAGGCTCCCTTAGATGTGTCTGATACTCAATTTTATAAATTATTAATCTGTTGTTTAAATTAGATTGAATTTTAAACCTGCTTATACCTTTTAAAAACAAAATGCTTAAAATTTTTATGGTATTTTCTTTTAAAAAGTTTATAGATGAGACATTAAAATGTCTGGCCTTTTTTCAGTTTATATCTGTGAAATTGTGAAATGTATACAGTGATGCACCACATAACAACATTAGGGTCAACTATGGACCATACATACAACAGTGTTCCCATAAGAGTATAATGGAGCTGAAAAATTTCTATGGTCTGGTGAGTTGTAGTGGTCATAAAGTTGTAATGATATATATTACCTTTCCTACATTTAGATACACACTTACTATTGTGTTACAATTGCTATGGTACTCAGTACAGTAACATGCAGTACAGGTTTATAGCCTAGGAGCAGTAGGCCTAGGTGTATAGTAGGCTATACCATCAATTTTGGATAAACACATTCTATGCTGTAAGCACAATGACAAAATTGCCTCACAATGAACTTTGCAGAACAGATCTCTTTTTAATTTTTTTTTAAGTTCAGGGGTGTATGTGCATGTTTGTTACGTAGGTAAACTTCGGTCGTGGGGTGGGGTTTGTTTTACAGATTATTTTGTTACCCAGGTGTTAAGCCTAGTACCCATTAATTATTTTCCTGATACTTTCCCTCCTCCCACTCTCCTCCACCCTCAGGTAGGCCCCAGTATCTGTTGTTTCCTCTGTGTGTCCATGTGTTCTCATCATTTAGCTCCCACTCACAAGTAAGAATATGTGGTATTTGGTTTTCTATTCCTGTGTTAGTTTGCTAAGGATAATGTCTTCTAGCTCCATTAATGTCCCTGCCAAGGACATGATATCATTCTGTTTTTTTATGGCTGCATAGTATTTCTTGGTGGATATGTACCACATTTTCTTTATCCAGTCTATAACTGATTATCATTTTGGTTAATTCCATGTCTTTGCTATTGTGAATAGTCCTGCAATGAACATATGTGTGCATGTGTCTTTACGGAAGAATAATTTATATTTCTTTGGGTGTATACCTAGTAATGGGATTGGTGGGTCAAATGGTAGTTCTGCTTTTAGTTCTTTGTGGAATTGCCACACTGTTTTCCACAATGGTTGAACTAATTTATACTCCCTCCAGCAGTATATAAGCATTCCCTTTTCTCTGCAACCTCATCAGGATCGGTCATTTTTTGACTTTTTAGTAATAGCCATTCTGACTGGTGTGAGATGGTATCTCATTCTGGTTTTTATTTGCATTTCTCTAATGATTAGTGATGTTGAGCTTTTTTTCATATGCTTGTTGGTGGCATGTATGCCTCTTTTGAAAAGTGTCTGTCCTTTGCTCAGGTTTTAATGGGATTGTTTTTCTTGTAAATTTGTTAAGTTTCTTATAGATGCTGAATATTAGACCTTTGTTAGATGCATAGTTTGCAAAATTTTTCTCCCATTCTGTAGGTTGTCTGCTTACTCTGTTGATAGTTTCTTTTGCTGTGCAAAAGCTCTTTAGTTTAATTGTATCTCATTTATCAATTTTTGCTTTTGTTGCAATTGCTTTTGGTGTCTTCATCATGAAATCTTTGTCCATTCCTATGTCCAGAATGGTATTGCCGAGATTGGGATCTCTGTCTTAAGTGACACATGACTGTATTTGGTCTTCACCCAGTTTCCTGGCATAAAACTCCTGAAATCCTTAAAATCTCCTAAGTGAGAAGTATCTTTTGTTTGCTAATGAGATGACTGCTGATTGGCAGCCCCTATGTAGCTTCGGATGGAGGCTAATCACAAGAAAGACATGCATATGTGGTTGGAATTTTTTTTTTTTTTTTTGAGGCGGAGTTTCGCTCTTGTTACCCAGGTTGGAGTGCAATGGCGTGATCTCGGCTCACCTCAACCTCCGCCTCCTGGGTTCAGGCAATTCTCCTGCCTCAGCCTCCTGAGTAGCTGGGATTACAGGCACGCGCCACCATGCCCAGCTAATATTTTTGTATTGTTAGTAGAGACGGGGTTTCACCATTTCGACCAGAATGGTCTCGATCTGTTGACCTCGTGATCCACCAGCCTTGGCCTCCCAAAGTGCTGGGATTACAGGCTTGAGCCACCGTGCCCGGCCCTGGTTGGAACTTTTAAAGCCCTATTTCCTAACCTCTGAGAAGGAGAGAGGGGATAAAGTTTAAGTTGATCACCAATAGCCAATATTTTAATCAATCATGCCTACATAATGAAGCCTCCATAAAAGCTTTGGATAAGCTTTCAGATAGCTGAACACATGAAGGTTTCCGGAAAGTGGAGCACCTAGAGAGGGCATGAAAGCTCTGTGTCAGTTCCCCCACACATTACCCTGTCCATCTCTTATCTGTTGTTCATTAGTATCCTTTGTAATAGCCTTTTAAATACTCTAGAAAATGTAAGTAAGTGTTTCCCTGAGTTCTGTGAGCCACTATAGCAAATTAGTCAAACTTGATGAGGGGAGTGTGGAAACCCTGAATATAGCCGATTGGTCAAAAGCACAGGTAAAACAACCTGGGGCTTGCCATTGGCGTCAGAATGGTGGTGGATGGAGGATAGGGAGGGGATGTTTTGGGGACTGTGACCTCAACCTGTGGGATCTGAACTACCTCCAGGTAGAGAGTGTCATGATTGACTTGAATTAGAGGACACCCAGCTGAAGTCTACTGCAGAACTGATTGCTTACTTGATGTATGGGGGGAACTCCTACCCCTACATTTGGTCACAGAATCTTTTGTGTTGACTGTTGAGTGAGAGTACAGGAGAAACTGACTTTGTTTTTTTCCTATATCCTCAATATCAAATAAGGAATTTGCTGAAGAAAGCTTGGTTTTGGAATGAAAATGAATAATTTAAAATACAGAAAAAGGAATGTATTTAGCAGTTTGACAAAGGCTCATGGCACTCTTCTCTTTCAGTTTAATGGAATTATATATATGTAATTAAGAAAACCAATAAAGCAAACTTCTAGCATTTTCCCTTTTAAGTGATAATTAATTGTCTGCTTGTTGAGTAATTAAATTAATCCAATGCTACAGATAGATGAGGTACATGCATGTTTAATAATTTAGATAGCATCTGCAACTTTTAAAAGCCTGTTAAATGATTGTGAGAATCAATCAGGTCCTCCTGGTGACATCATGATCATAATAATCAGCATCGCAACTAAAAACAATCATTTGGAGAATTAGTTTGAAACACTGTTCTTTATATAACTGACAATAATAAATATTTTCTAATGAATGCTAACTTGATTTGATGATTATTGGAGAACTAAGAATAATGAGTGAAAAGAAATACAGAAGTAAAAAGAAAAGGAATTACAAGCTACTACTTGTCTTTAGTTTATTTCTAGTAAAATCAGATCTATTAAGCAAGACATTTAGTTGGAAAGGACAGAAAATGTAAAATGGGAAATTATTGGTCATATAAAGGGAGGATTAAGAGGAATACATTCCAGTAGGGGCCTGAGGAGGTAATGAAGACCCAGTTTTTCTTTCTCCATGTTTTTAGTCTTTTTCTTTTGTGTTGGTGCCAGTCTCAGGGTTGATGTGGGAACAGTTTAGTTGTAATAGTTTAAACCCTGTATTCTTTTGGTTTAAGTACAGTAGAAAAGAATGGCTCCTCAGGAAAATGCCTGAGATTAGCTCTGTTTAGGACTGCTTGATCTGGTGTGAGTCATGTGTCTGTCCATCCCCAGATGAACTAGGAGGATGGAATACATTGATTGTCTCAGGCCTCTCTCCTGTTCATTTGTTCTTCTGGAACAAAGTCAGGGACCCTCATCCTAACCCTATAGACTGAGACTGGGGAAGAGTAGATTCTAGACAACAACAGGAGGCTTTAGAAGTAGAGTAAAGCCAAAATGGCAAGCCAAACACAACTAGGGCCTATTATAAATGTAACATGTACATTCCTGTAATATAGTAGATGCTGAATAATATGTCTTGAATTAGAGATGATAGTTAGAAAAGGATATTTTAGGTACTTTTTCTATGGAGGCTTTTGAGCTTTTGTGTATTTTGCTCTCAGAACTCTAGTGGGTAAATATAGATAAGAGTTTGTACTCTTTGATCATTTCTCAAAGTGTTTTTTTTAAATGTTTATGTTCCCTTCACACAGTTAGTTAGCAATAATAATGTTCTGATTTTACAGACAGAAGACACTGAATATGATGAAAAGACTTGATGTTGTTTATAAAATTCAGTGTTGAACAAACTTAAAATGTTTTCTCCATTAAAAATTTTTAAGTTGTGTTTAAAAGTACTCAAAACAGATAGTTATGTTTGCATCCATCAGTTATATAAAATAGTCTTGTGACTATTAGTCTGATAACAGATAGATAAATGTGATCAATTATTGCATGTTTCTGGTAGCTGGTCATATCATAACCATTTCTAGAATTCTTGGACACATTTAATGTATTCCTTTAAAAAAAGAAGACATTGATGAGGCCAACAAACACATGAAAAAATCCTCATTATCACTGGTCATTAGAGAAATGCAAATCAAAACCTAACATTAAGATACTATCTCACACCAGTTAGAATGGCAATCATTAAAAAATCTGGAGACAACAGATGCTGGAGAGGATGTGGAGAAATAGGAACACTTTTACACTGTTAGTGGGAGTGTAAATTAGTTCAACCATTGTGGAAGACAGTGTGGCAATTTCTCAAGGATCTAGAAATAGAAATATTATGCAGCAATCAAAAACGATGAGTTCGTGTCCTTTATAGGGACATGGATGAACCTGGAGAACATCATTCTCAGCAAACTGACACAAGAACAGAAAATGAAACACCGCATGTTCTCACTAATAGGCGGGTGTTGAACAATGAGAACACATGGACACAGAGAGGGGAGCACTACACGCTGGGGTCTGTTGGTGGGAATAGGGGAGGGACAGCGGGGGGTGGGGAGTTGGGGAGAGATAGCATAGGGAGAAATGCCAGATACAGGTGAAGGGGAGGAAGGCAGCAAATCACACTGCCACATGTGTACCTAAGCAACTGTCTTGCATGTTCTTCACATGTACCCCAAAACCTAAAATGCAATTAAAAAAAAAGAAATTTCATTTGACCCAGCAATCTCATTACTGGGTATATATCCAAAGAATTATAAATTGTTCTATAATAAAGACACATGCACACATGTGTTCATTGCGACAATGTTTACAATAGCAAAGAGCTGGAAGCAACCCAAATGTCTATCATTGATAGACTGGATAAAGAAAATGTGGCACATATACGCCATGGAATACTACACAGCTATAAAAAACAATGAGTTAGTGTCCTTCATAGGGACATGGATGTATCTAGAAACCATCATTCTCAGCCAACTGACACAAGAACAGAAAACCAAACACCGTATGTTATCACTCATAGGGCAGTGTTGAACAATTAGAACACATGGATACAGGGAGGGGAGCATCACACACTGCAGTCAGTAGGGGGAGTCTAGGGGAGGGACAGCAGGGGTGGGGAGGGTGGGGAGTAATAATGAGGGGAGAAATACCAGATATAGGTGATAGAGGGATAAAGGCAGCAAATCACCTTGCCATGTATGTACATATACAACAATCCTGTATGATCTGCACATGTACCCCAGAACCTAAAGTACAATAAAAAAAAAATCAGGATGGATATTCTGATTTGTTCTGTCTGTTGGTAAAATTCAAGTCAAAACTGAATTAGCTCCTGCCAACTTGGCCTATTTAAGTAGTATAGGGGTTTTATATAATAAAATATCATAAAATTTCCTTTTATTATCATAGATTACTATATAAACAGGTGATCATCTAATCAATGGTCCAAACCAGGACATTGTTGAGAGTGACAGGGGAAAATTGGATTGAGATACCAGGCAGAATCTAGACAAATCAGGACTTGAAGTCACCCCATGTATAAACAATACAAATTTTATTGCCTGTGCACTTAATGTTAAATTCTCTGTATGAGGAACAATGTCAGAGGACTTTTTTAAACTGCAAAGCACTTTGATAAGATAGCTCTTGGTCATGTGACTTTTTTGGTATGGCCTATTTTTCCTTTAAGAAATAATATCATCTTAAATACTCATAGATGTGATGGCATTTGGAGAGTCCCACTGCTTCTTTCTGCATTTTTCTAGCAGAGTATTTAGTAGGAAGAATAATTAATTTTTTGAGTGACAGATTTAGCTCTCCAACCATGTCCCTTGTCACCTCTTAGACTAAAATAGATCATGCCAAGTAAACTATGAGAATAATGCCTGATAAAGATACCTTGATGGTATAATTAACAATACCTCAATAAGTCAGTGGAGGTTAGAAGAACAACGAGAGGTCTTCTACTGTCCCCTGCCTCTTTGGCTCTGCCAATTTCAGTATATCACATGGAAGTTATTTTTCTGTTATTCTCGCCCCTGTGGGTGGCATTTAATATTTGAGTATCATGGTAACAGAGGGCCAGAGAATGAAGGCAACAAATCTCATATCAACTCTTTCATTTTGTTTTTTTGTTTCTCTATGTATCTGTTTATTTTTTAAGGAATGGACTCTCTTTGTTAAGTATAACTTCTGTTCTATAATAGTAATTTAATAATTGAATTCATATTTCAATAGTATCTTTTTTTTAACACAGGGTCTCACTTTGTCACCTGGGCTGGCGTGAGTGACACAATCATAGCTCACTGTAGTCTCAACTTCTTGGGCTTAAGCAAACTTCCCACCTCAGCTTCCCGAGTAGCTGGGATTACAGGAGTGTGCCACTATGCCTGGCTAATTGTTTTGTAGAGATGGGGTTTTGCCATGTTGCCTAGGCTGGTCTTGAACTCTTGGGGTCAAGCATTCTGCCCTCCTCAGCCTCCGAAAGTACTGGGATTACAGGCATGAGCCACTGTGCCTGGCTAATTTTACTCTTTTAAAAAATCTTATTTCAACTGAACACATTTTTATAAACCATAAAAACATATTAAAACCCAGCAGTTTCAGAAACAGTTAAGAATTTCCTTGTGAAAGCACTGTTCTCTCAGTCTTTATCTTCCAAGTGACTTGAATGCTCTTAATACTAATTGCACCTTGGTGTAAGCTACTTGATATCAAACCTTTTTATTTAAAGTTAGTTGCTTTTGAGCCCGCTGCATAGAGACCCTCTAATTCTGTGTAGTGACCTGTACCCTAGTGCACAATTAGTGTGTGAATCAAGGTAATTAGCAACAAATCATCTTTTTATAATTGAAGAATCTAAGGTAGTGCAAGATAAGGGACCTACTGAGAGACAGAGTTCAGAATAAAGGAGAAGGTTTCAGTCATTTAATGAAGTGCTCTGCTGGGAGGATTCCCCTAGTCTGGGGACCTTTAGTGAAATATGGGGAAACCATCAGGCGAGGCAGGTCAGATAGTTTATAATGGCGAGTTATAGGCTGTATGTTATAAGGAGCATTTCTTAGCACTGGAGAAATTTCACTAGATTCCAGTTCACCTTTCCAAACTACTAAAAGCAAAACAGGACTGTTTTTAAAAATTGGAAAGTAAACCTGACTTCTTGTGGAAAATTTGGAAAATATTGAGAAATTTTAGATCTAGTCCCTTTAACTTTAAGGAGCTCACAGGCAAAGGGGCAGGGGAAATCAGCACAGAAAACAACTGATATGGCCATTAAGAGCATGAAAGCTTAGGGTTAGTAAGTTCTTGAATTCACCTTTTTACAAATCTGTAAAAACAAATATGACTTTAAAAAAGCACAAATATAAATTGGGAATGCCAATTAGCTCATTAAATTAGATGAAACATATCAGTGGAATCAAATTTCATGGTTCAAATGATATATTTTAATATTTTAAACATTATATTTTAAGCTGGGTATAGTGACTCACACCTGTAATCCCAGCACTTAATGGAAGGCCAAGGTGGGCAGATCACTTGAGCTCAGGAGTTGAAGACTAGTCTGGACAACACGGCGAAACCCTGTATGTATAAAAAATACAAAAATTAGCTGGGTGTGGTGGTGCATAACTGTACTCCCAGCTACTCAGGAGGCTGAGGTGGGGGCATAGCTGGAGCCGAGAAGGTTAAAGGCGGCAGTGAGCCATGATTGCATCACTGCACTCCAGCCTGAATAACAGAGTGAGACCCTCTCTCAGAAAAAATTATAGTTTAAGAAATGAGCAAAAATGAATAGCTAGGCAGAAATTGATGATAGCTTTTCTTAGATTAAACACCAAAAATATCTTGAACATTTGCGTTGGCTGAAAATGTTCTTCGTAAACAATGAGAAAAAAGCTACAGTTTTATTTTTAAAAAGAATTAGTTATTTTCCTAGTACTTTCACATTGAATTAATTTGTCACTTATTCTAGTGGATAAACAAGAATAGAGCTAATTACCTGAATGTTTATGTGACAGATGCTATCAGAGCCAACCCTTAACCCCAGGACCTTTCACATTGCTCTTATGAACTTTCTACTGTCAGCGCTTGCGTCTCTGTGTCTGAGGGCTGCCCCTCAAATGCTGATTTGCCCGTGGACAGCAGTTCATTCTAGGGAATTAATATGCCCGCTTATCCAGCAGGCTTCATCTAATAACTCTCTAAAGGTGACATATAAAATACCCCAGCTCCCTCACCCTCAGATGCGATAATTCTGAAGCTATGTTTTGCACTAGTTCTCAAAGCTTCCCCAGAGAATTCAGCTCCAAGCACCCACTCTGGTAGCTGACTTCTTAGATGCTTTTCTTTCTTTGTCTCCCTTCCCCACTTCCCTACCACTGTTCCCTACTTGGGGTGCTTCTGGAGAATCCATACTAAATCTTAAAATTAAGCATTATTGTTATTACACTTCTATGCACTACCTGGATTAACCCCATGCTGATCATGGTTTAGGAATTCTCAAGTGTTTTACATAAAAGGCATCGTTCATAAAGCTAAAGAAGGACCAGTATGATCAATAGTGCACACTAATGGATTGAAAGAGTTATCTAGCATGACCTGAGATGCATTAGCAAACACAGAAAATCTGACCTTGGGAGAAAGCCCCTGATCTGAGCCTGGAGAGTAAGACTGAAGTCAGAATGATGAGCCTTCCTTGTGCTATGTCATATTGCTTTGGATTTGCTGTGAAGCTGGAGGTTCAGGGAGGGGCATTACTGCAATGCCCCCTTTTACTTTTGCATGTCTTTCCTGGCCTGACTGATGCTGGCAGTGATCTCATTTTATTCTTTCTCCCTAAATCTTCTGTAGCACTACACACATAGATAGTGAATAATTCTTGATTAATGGGCCACTGTGCTGTGCTGTCAGGTGCTATATTAAATTGTGTTATATCAGTTACTTCTGAAATCTGTAGGTATTTTTTTATTTTGTACCATAAGCCTCCTGGTCTTTGTTGCTATTACATTATGAAACCCTGTCAAATATTTCATTTTGTCTTCAAAAAGTCCTTGGCAAAATTAGCGTCTTATGATTTGTTTTTGAAAATTAGTGATAAAATATCAATGAAATAGATACAATTTCTTATCTTTTGTTTCAAGTCTCATTTAGTTCTGTGCATTATCTTGTGAATGGGAACTTTCGTATGCTAAGGAAATCTTTCAGCCTTAATGGATGGCCATCAAGTCAGTTGCTGCTGACACATCCCTGCTATACCTCCCTTCTCTGGCTGTGGTTTGTTTCTCCAGGGTGGTAGTTAGATGAATACTGCCATCATCTTCCCTACTCTGCTCAAGGATTCCTAGCATGGCTCACTGTTCCCAACCAGGTGTCCTTATCAGCAATTCCTTAGAGATGTCACTCTGACTCTTGTGTGATCTCACAGAATTACTCATTAAAAAATCGAGTATGCTGCTGTGTGCTGTAAATTGTCTTTCTCAACTTGAAGTCATATCACTTTAACCACGCTTCATCATTGCTGTGACAACTGTATGAGTATACTGTATATTTTAAACATGACAGTGATGGATCCTATAGGTAAAATACCAAATGACTGAAAACAAGTGGCAAGGCAAGTATTTTTATAATCAAAATATAATGCAATTCATTAGAAATAGGTATTATCTTAGCTATTATAACTTCTGGAAGTTTTGTGAACCTTTGTGTTCAGTCAAAACTGCAAACTCAGCATATGCTTGCTTATGAATATTGCTTCTAGCTAAACAAGTGTTCATATATTCTTTTCCATTTAAATACATGACTAGGTATTTACTAAAAAGTGAGCTACTTACTAATGGTAGATTACTGCGATGTCTTTCATATCAGCTGTTGCTTATCTGACAATCTCATATTAGGTGAAACCTAGGCAAGAAATAGGTAGGAAGCTGAATTGGCTTGTGAGATAACCTAAGCGATATCCCAGTGTCTGTGCAGTACCTATTCCTGTGTACTTTATTCACTGGCAAACCCTTCTACAACCCCATGCAAAATGTTTTTTCTTTTTAAATTTTACACATTATTATTATTTTTTAAATACAGGGTTTTGCTTTCTCACCCAGGCTGGAGTACAGTGGCATGATCATAGCTGACTGCAGCCTCATCTCCTGGGCTCAAGTGATTTTCCCACCTTAGCCTCCCAAGTAGCTGGGACTAGAGGTGTGGGCTACCATGCCTGGCTGATTAATTTTTTTTTTTAGTAGAGATAAGGTCTTGCTACATTGTCCAGGCTGGTCTTAAACTCCTAGACTCAAGTGATCCACCTACCTCAGCCTCCCAAAGAGCTGGGATTACAGGTGTGAGCCACCATGCCTGGCCTTTACACATGATTTCAACAGGTTTGGTTCAGTTATATGATTTCCCGTTAGTAGCAAGCAAGAATGGTGAAAAGAATAGATTACCAGAGAAAAATACTAAGAAAATATACTATATTAATACTTAAATGATTAAGGTTAGTGAAAGAGTTTTAGTCATATTTTAACTTAAAAACTGATAATTGTGTTAGAAGGCTTCAGACAGTTTATTGAGTGCCTGTTATGCACTGGGCAATGTATGCAATGTTTACCAGCATCCTCTCTAGCTCTTACATCTCGTCTGTGAGATAGACATTATTATTTCCATTCTAAAAATTAGAGAACAACTGGGGCTCTGATGAGTGAAATGATTTGCACAAGGCCAAGTAGTAAGTAACTGATTTAGAATTAAAACCAGGACCGTCAGATTTAAAGGCCCTGTTGTTTCTGTCATATTGAATTGCTTCCACATGGGCCATTCCACAATGTACTTAGTGAAATTATTATCTTAAGAGCAATACATTTCATAGAGAAACTTAATAATAACCTCCTCTGACTCCCCTGATTTTACATATCTTTTTTTGCCTAAGTGAGGATATAAACCAAAATCATGATTATTTTGATTTATATTTACATAATAACTTTCACTTTGTATAGATTCAGTTTGTCACTCTAATAATACTATTTCTGGCCTCAGGCCTGTTGATATTCGACTGGTACCCTCAACATACTTGTTCTTTAAATGGTTGTGGTGTGGATCATTTGAAGGAAGGAACAGCCAGAAAAGTATCAAGATAATTGTGACAACTGCCACTGGTGGTATAGTAATTAAAGAGAACAGATAGTTATGTAAAAGTAATTTCTTTGCTGAGCCATCACTGGTGCAGAGAGCAAAATAATAGGGACAGATGTGACTGAAAGAAGTTTTGATGTTATCCTGGTGTTTGGTTTTAATCTCTCCCCACCTCTTGATACCATCGATTTTTATCTGTCATGTAAAAACAGCAGCAACAGCTCATGGTAAATTTCATGGTGAGAGTTCTTACATAATTCAAGGATCACATGAAAGAAAACCACAGCATTATCTTCTAGCTTCTTACCTGATTTTGTAAAAAGGTTTTGAGCATACTGTTTTTTTTATGAGTGGTTATCAGAAATCTTAAATGGTAGAAACCAAACGTTGTCAAACAGGAAGGGTAATAAAAATTCCAGTGTATCTGGGAGGCCATGAAGCGTCATGGAGTTTTATTTTGTTTCTCTGTGGAGTTAACTGGTTTTTAGCAGTTCTACTGAACTTTAGCTAAAATGAATTACACGAAAAACTGATTAGAATTGGTTCATGCTATTATTAGAATTACTAAACATGCAGAAATTAAAGTAAATGCTAAGGGGATGTCTTGCTGCTTTTAGGGTGTTTGATTCTGATCTGGTCGCTTACTATCTTCAATCTATTAGATACTATATTACAAGGGACACTCAAGTACATACAGGCTCCAAACCCCTGTCTAGTCATATCTTTGTAAGCCACACTGATGTTTTTAGCATAGAATGTAGGTTGGAGGCCTATGGTTCTATTTTGTGGAGTTAGAGTCCCACCCACCCCAGATCTATTGAATGAGAATCTCTTGGTGACAGGCATTTTAAATATTCTTCTTGAGTGAGTCTGATATATATTTGGAAACCTCTGCACAGGCCTCCTAAATATGATAACCCCTTCTAAATATGTGTCATCTCGACCCTCAGAGAGTGTTACCATATTTGCTAGGAGAAAGGGAAGAGAGAAAAGTGTCAGCCTTGAACAGAGGAGAACATTGAACATCTATTCAAAGAGTAGAAAACTTTGAACCTCTTCATTCTACTATCCATACCTCCAAGTCTAGCTGCCTTGGTCTAATTATGTTTCTTGAGGTGCAGTTTTCCTTTGCGCTCTAATAGAAGTGCTTCTCCTTGGATGTGGAATTGAGGTGAGGTAGATGAGGTGAGGTAGATGGGAGTGATGCTCTTCCTAGAGCCAAGATTCTTACTACTTGGGGGGAAAAAAGACCAGGCTGCCCCTATTTCTCATCACACTCCCTTATCCTGATTATTCCAATTCACTCTATCTCATATCTGTGATTCAGATGCTCATACCTGGGGAGACGCTGTTTTTCTGGATATTAGACTATGTGACCAAGAGTGAACATTTTGTATTTCTGTAAAATTCCATGTTTGGGATGGTGTTAGAGGCAGAGATACTTCCGGGGCCTAATGTCACATAGAAAGGCTTGATACTTACCCTTCAGCAGGAATGAGAGGTACATTTAAATTACTAGACTGATTAGACTCCTGAATTTAGACTCCTAATTTAAATTCTTAAAGAGTTAGCTAAGGGATGTGAGGGGTAAATGATACATCTGTTTTACCCCAAACAGATCCTGCACTGTCTGGGGAGAAACCCCTAGTCTTCCCTGCATCCCTGGCTTTAATGTTTGAGGGCCTGTTCTTTATAATGAGGTTCATAAGGGAAAGGACAGTGTGGCCCTCCTGAGACCAGAGGGAATAGGATAGGGCAGAGGTTCTCAGGTATTGATGAGCAACAGAAACACCTGAGGCTCTTGGTAAAATGCAGATTCCCAGACCCCCACCTGGATCCACTGAGGGGAGTACATTAGTTTCCTAGGGCTGCTGTAACAAATTACCACACTCTTGGTGGCTTAAAATGGAAATTCATTTTCTCATGGTTTTGGAGGTCAGAAATCTGAAATCAGGGTGTCAGTAGGGGTGGTTATTTCTGGAGGCTCTGAGGGAGAATTCGTTCCACCCCTATCTTGTAGCTTTTGGTGACTGGGAAATTCTTGGCTTATAGAAGCATCATGCCCAAACAATACAAAACAAAAATAAGAAAATAGAACTTAAATTAAGTTAGGTGCACTCCTTAGTGGCCCCCTCCCAGTGCTTTGCCTAAATCTCTAATTTAGCATTGATTGCTGTGGCTAACACCCAACCCATAAGACACAACCAGCACTGCAACGCTCACCTATCTGATAAGGACACTTGTGCTTTCCCCTCTACACCCTCTGGAAAGGGATTTGGAGGCTCTTTAATCAACCCAATGACATGCTTTCAGTGGGAAAGAAGCTGGGGCAGGTACTTAGCCCCGGGGACTCCTGGTTAATGTTTAGTTTGTTCAGCTGTGCTGTCACCTTATTGCTGTAGACACTAAATTCCAATCTGGATTACAAACGTTTTGTGAACAACTTAGACTAATATTTATAGTGCTGGAAGAGGTAAAATTTAAAAAGCCAGTTGATCTGAAATAATTTGTGAGTTTTTTTCCTCTGGCCTAATCCAAGAGCTTTCTGCTTGGTTTATCAGGTCCTCTGGTGACCTTAGTTTATGTTTAGGTAGCAAAATTCCTGTTCCATGCAAGTAGCAGAAGCTCTCGAATGAAATATAGCCAAATCAGCACAGCACCAATCACCTATCCTATTAATTTCTTTATACTAAGTCTGGAAGGCATTTGGGTCTTGAATCTCTTTGCCTGCCTGTGTCCTCCCTCCTTCTCATTTGTAATCTGTCTCTGTTTTTCCCATTCAACTGTAGACATCAATGCAAACCATAAGTTTTATACCAAACATATAATTGGCATCCCTTGCTGGGAGACACTGTGCTCTAATGGTTAAGGGTTATGGCACAAGATCCAGGATTGTATTCTCTACAATTTACTAGCTTGTGATCATGGGCAAGTTACTGAACTGCTCTAAGCTTCATTTTCCCCATCTGACAAATGGGGGTAATGATGGCAATGATCATGATATCCACTTTATTGGATGATTGAGAGAATTAGATTAGGTAAGCTTTATAAAGGGCTTGATATATAATAAATGATTAGCTATTTTTGTGATTACAATTATAGTTATTTTATTATTATTTGTTTAAAATGCCAGCAAGATAAGCTCGAGTAAAAGATTTTTTTATACTAGGGAAGAAGCCATTAACTACAGGATGACAGGCTGAGTACAATTATTTGCATAATTACCAACATTGTTAGGCCCTTAATAGGCATTACCACAATCCAAAGTTCTCACATCTGTGATCTCATTTAATCATCATGGCATGTTAAGAGCCTTTACTATTACCTCATTTTTCTGATGACAAAACTGAAGCACAGAGAAATTAAGTATCTTGTTCAAAATTTGTCAGAGTTAACAGGGGTCTAAGATCTACCTCACATTACATTATAGTCACTTCACTGGCTTCCAAAGATTAATGGAGGGAAGGTTTTCACATTGCTCATTTTTATCATATAATTATTCAACATGACATTTAGGTTTGTTTAATACAAAGTGTTTACTATAACATTATTCAAAAAACTATCTATTTATACACATATCACAAACACATGTTCCTTTGGGGTAGGAGTAAAAAGTCCCAGTATCTTAACTTCTAGAGGGGTGGCTGTAGGCATGGAGCGCTATTTTTCTCTCTGGTGTTTGCATAGGTTACAGAGCCAGCAGGAAGCCCAGTGCCTGATGCAAGTAGAGAAACAGCATGGACCCTGCAGAGAGACTGTCATCAAGCTGTGCTGGGCAGGTTCTTACACTTTGTGGTGGGGAACTTTCTTGCTGGGAGAGGTTCTTCTGGGCTATAACTGCTCACAGCCATTCTGTAATTGGCTTCTGCAAAGTAGCAAGCATGTTGGCTTTGCTACCCGCATCCATCTGGCTGAGTTTTATGCACATGCAAATAATGGAACCCTTATTTGTGGCTATCTCTGGGACTTATGAGTCACAATGGAGTCATTGCATCCATACGGTCTACAATGTCATACAGCCAAAGCTGGGGGTGGGGGATTAGAACATTTATATTCAGGCAGTCTGACTTTATCATCTCTGTGCCTCACCAATGCATCAGGCCACCTTCCTGCAATAGGAAAATCTTTAAAAAAAGTCCTGACATTGGTGTATCAATCTTTGCCAGATTTTTGGCACATCACAATCTGAGCTTAAATTGTGATGCAAAACATTTTGGACAAGGCTCAGCATTGCTAGTTGTTTGTTTGCTTATTTCTTGTTGATGACCCAGTGTAGTTAATTTCATCTCCACACTCAGCTGTTCACTGATAGCTTTTCTTCTTAAAGGAAATAATTTTAGTACTTATTGATGTTGACTTGAGTAACACAATATTATTAATAATATTTAGAATGGTTCTTTAACCAAAGTGTAAGTATAATTTCAAAGCAAGCTTATGAAATTTTACTTATAAATTTTTCATTTTATAACACTTGCTCTGAAATGGCTGCTTATCAAAATAATGACTGATTCAAATCTCAATGGCATGTATCACATTTCCATAGTAAATATGCAGCCACAAGTCCTTTCTGGTATTTCAAATTTTCCCACTTTGTTAACATCAACTTACTTGACATAAATTCTGTCTTCTTTAAATTATTTTTGACTATTACAATTTGAAGGCTGATGAAATTATTTTCATTAAAGAGTAACTTTAAAAATTATAATCATTATAGTTTAGAAGGCTTGGAATATGTAGATAAAGAAAAAGAAAATAAAAATAATTAATAATCTCATCATCCAGAGATAGCCATTGTTAAAATTTGGTTTTTATAATGAAAAGATTTTTTAAAAATTTACTGCTTATTGCAGGAAAATATACTAACAGAAAATTAAATTGTCTGTTTACACTAACCTTGGTAGCTTTTTTTTTAAAAAAGAAGCTCAAGTCCTCCAAACTATTTAAAAGCAAGCAAATAAACACTTTATTTGAAATTTTAAAAGGCAAAAAAGCACAAATGAAATATTGTTTCATACACAGATGTTTTAGATTTAGATGGTTTATGATTTAATAGTTAGATTGTTGTGTTATGTAGCACAATTTTGTGTTGGGATTCAATTTGCATATGGTACACTAAGGTTTCTTATGCATTGATAGCATATCATATATTTGTGCTTGTTTTCTGGGGTTTGGAATGTAATTTTATGAATTTAAATTTATAATAGTCAAAACAAACAAAATGTTCTTTAATAGTAGGATAGATAAATAATAGTTTATGTAATGAAATACTCTGCAGTGATGAAAATGAACCACAGCCATGTTCAACAACATGGATAAATCTCACAGCCGTAATATTGAATGAAAGAAACCAGATAAAAAATAACACATATACTCAGGCCAGGTGCAATGGCTTATGCCTGTAATCCCAGCACTTTAGGAGGCTGAGGTGGGCGGATCATTTGAGGTCAAGAGTTAGAGACCAGCCTGTCCAGCATGGTGAAACCCCATCTCCACTAAAAATACAAAAAATAGCTGGTGTGGTGGTGTGTGCCTGTAGTCCCAGCAAGTCAGGAGGCTGAGGCAGGAGGATCAGTTGAACCCAGGAGATGAAGTTTGTAGTGAGCCAAGATCTCACCATTGTACTCCAGCCTGGGAGACAGAGGGAGACTTCATCTCAGAAAAAAAAAAAAAAAAGGGTACTGTATAAGTGTATTTATATGAAGTTTAAATATAGATATAACTAAACTATAGATGGGATAATAAGGACAGTTAGAAAATTATAATACCATTAGGAATTCAGGATACTTGTTGCTTTTGAAAGGAGAAAAAGCATAGTGATTGGGAAAGGCATGAGGGAACATCTAGTGTACTCAAAATAATCCATTTGTTGACCTGGTTGATGGCTAGTAAGGTGTACTCACTTTTAAAAAGACTGCATTGAGCTTCCTTTATATTTTGTGTACTTTGCTGTGTATATGATATACTTCAATATAAAAAGCTAAATAATTACTACATAAGTCACATTTACTTGATATCTACTGTTTGCTCCCGACATAATCTTCCTATTATTTCCTCAGGGAAATAGGATCTGCTTTACTATCATGGTTTCCAAGAATGCATTAGGCTTTTTTAAAAAAAGGGAGAACTGCTACCATTTCTTTTATCTCCATTGTGATAAAATTTTCAAGTCATTTAAATATTTTCTAGATGATTGATATATTTTATTAGTTCTTGTGCACAGCAGATGTGTGAGACAGGCTGGTATTGCGGTCTCCATTGTTCAGATAAGGAAAGTAGACACAGGGAGAGTAAATGTTTGGCTGAGCCTGGAATTGAAATGCAGTTCTTTTGACATTCTTCTGTGCTGTCTGACTACAGAACACTGCTACAGTCATAGATAACTCAGAATTTCCCAAAATCTTGGACTCCTAGAGAAAAAAGATTTCCATGAACACAAATAGGCACTAACTATAAAAACATTTTTGTAGATGAAATTTACATTTATATCTAAGAAGTATGGTTAAGCACATTGAGGGGAGTTACTCACTGATTCAACAAACATTTCTGAGCATTGGGTATTGTGCCAGCCTCTGCAGGAGATGGAGCTAGGAATATTACTATAATACAATGTGATAAGTGAAAGAATAGAGAATCCTACATATTGGCCTAGAGGAGGGGCTGGTAAACAGCTTCTTAGGAAAGAAGCATTTGGAAGGTCTTTTGAAAGAGGGGATGCCTGAATTGGATCTGAAATGTACAGGGATGCATTTTGTTTTATATAAAACTAGATAGGTAGGTAGATTTCTTACATTTTTTCCCCATGACATTTTGACCTCCTAATTTTAAGAAACTTTAGATTCTTAGAGATCGTTGTTTTTTTTTTAAAAAATGTAAAGAACAGATTGAATTTCCAGAGATGGCAGCTGGATGGTAAACTCCTTGAAGACAGGACATCTTATGCTACCTTGTTTTTTTTACAAGGTCCAGCAGCATAGTAGCCTCTTCACTAAGATCGTTGTGGAATTGCTTTTGCATGGGGCTATTTTTGGTAGAAGTGAGTTCTTCACTTTAAACTACGCTTGCCTTCTTTGTCAGTGAATCTAAAGTGTTGAGCTGTTAGATTTGAGGGTGTTCAGATATTTTATTTCAGCTGAATTCTAACATCAAGTCATGCATATAAAAATCCAGTTACAAAAAAATTCAATTGAGTTGCATACAGCCTGTTGATGGTATTAATTTTTAAAAGTAGTTATGCTATAGATTTGTTTTATAGGCATTTAGATGAGTGCAAAGCTCTAAGGAAGCAAAATCTCATGTACAATACCACATAGGCCACTTTTCAAGGTTGACATTTTTGTTTTTCAGATGTGATCTCTGCATCATCTTATTCTTTGTGCAAGTTTCAGTAGATGACTCCTTATTTGTAAACAGAAGTCAGGCCTAACCAAATTTCAGCAATGAAATTCAGCTACAGAAAGAGAAAATAATAGCGTCAAAACCTTTATCCAGAACGCTATTTTGCATTTCCTGATAGACATATCCTGGCATCTCTAATGACATCCACTAAGGTAGTTCTCTAAAATATTTTATAGTTGCTGATAAGTCATTAGGTAATATGGAGAAAATGCCTTAGATCCTTTCTCTTCTTTATAGGAGGAATGCCTGGGAAAATAAATGAAAGTTCAAGTGAGAGACAGCAGAACATTAGTGATAAAGGAAGAAGCATGAGGGGCTGGTGTTTGTATATTGGCTTTTAAAGTTAATGATACCATTTAAAAATTTTATAAAATATAAACTATTGGCCCATCTTATAGGGTGGTTGTGGGAAATATCTACTGGAAGTGATACTCTCACACTCTGCCACTTTTCCACATCATCTTAATATTTGTAACAACTTAACAATGGGACATTTATGATCCAGAAATAAAAAAAAGTCATATATTTTACCAAGTAAATGGTAACCTATTCCTAGCTAATCTGTAGCCTAATGATCTGTCCAGGCCTAACTGGTTTAAACAATGGTAATTCTTTTTTTTTTTCTTTGAGATGGAGTTTCACTCTTGTTGCCCAGGCTAGAGAGCAGTGGCGCGATCTGGGCTTACTGCAATCTCTGCCTCTGCCTCTCAGGTGTTAATTCTAAAACATAAACTACTACTTAGATATACGTCAAAAAGAAAGGAAAGAAATGCCAAGTCCACTGCCTTAATTTCTTAGAGCAAATCCTAAACTAAATGTTTTGGGAGGATAGAGTAAATGAAATAAAAACAAAATTACAGTAGTTTTGTAACAGAGTTACAAAACTTACACACACAAAGGCCCTTAAATGAGGGCCTTTGGATGGACTTCATCAGGGGGTCCTTGAACCTCTTAAAATTGTGTGCAAAATGTAGTAAATCACAGCCTTTTTTCAGGAGTAAGTAGTTCCTACACTTTTATCAGATTCGCAAAAGAGTTAAGAACCACTGATTAAACCAATTACTAGTGTGTGTTAGTTATAGATAGATAGTGAGTAAATAGTTGGGAAATATAACAAATCTATAAAATATGCCTATGTATATGGTAACAAAGATGAAAGGAGCCTGTATTTCTGGGAATGCAATAAAATGATATCTATGTTATTAAAATGTTTGCATAGAGAATTTTATTCTTTTGTTGAGATGCAAAACTTTTAATTCCCTCTGTGCTAGGTCGCCTTGCCCAGCAAACAGACAATGAGAAATAACATTCTCCACGATTAGAGCTGGCTGTTTAAACACTCTGTTTATTTTTCTTCAGTTACCACACTTTGCTTGTACCATATCACAGATTGAATAATGAATAAAGCAAGGGGGACCTGGTAGCAGCAAGCATTTGACTTGTCACTGAAAATGAGCTTACTGGATTTTGAATTGGTTACTTTATATCCCCAAGAACAATTTGCTTTCCCAAGAACAAAATGCTTTGTACATTTTACTTTTTGTGTGATTAAAGTCAGCCTATCTTTTGGAATATAAATATATTTTAAATGGATTTCCATTTTCTAGGATACACAAGCAAGATATTCCTCAAGTCTATGAGGGATGGAAGTGATCCAGAAATGATATGTAATCATGGATCTGTGACAAACTAAACTGTGTGTGTGTGTGTGTGTGTGTGCGTGTGTGTGTGTGCATGCATGTGTGTGTGCATGCATGTGTGTGTGTGTACATGCGTGTGTGTGTGCATGCATGTGTGTGTGTGTACAAAGTTCATTGAATAAAGTATGATAGGAAAGTAGTGACTAACTTAGGATCAAACTGAAGTTTCCACACCATTATTCCACCCTTGTTTGATTAGACTCTCACAATAATCTCAAAGATTGTGCATTATTAGGTTGGGGGAGGAAATGTCAAGAAAATATTTTACTCTGTTCTTTCTCCATAGTTTCCCTGATATCTCAAACTGGCAGCCAGCTGGCTGAAGCCTGCACACAGACACGTTTTATTTGGCCCATGCAGTGCTTTTACAATGTTTGTGCCAACATTTTAATAGGAAGATTTCACATATGAATCTGCATTTCTGCATTATCTTGAGAAATCAGAAGACATGGGAATAACTGGCTGGAGCTGAGGGTCAGTTGTCTCCCTACCCCTGACCACAGCTTCCTTCTGCAGCTCCATCCATGACTTCAGGCACTCATGACCAGCCTAAGTAGTTATTTACCTGCTTGACTGCTGGAGGCGGCTGAGTTTGAGACTGGCTTAAGGCTGCCTTTGAGATTGCCTTAGTCTTCTGATTAATAACCAGGTTTGTATAAAGCTATCTTCTTGATCCTGGAGAGCCTTATTACTTAATATTACATAGATATCTGACCATCAAATCTAATCATTTTCAGGTTCAAAAGATTTAGAATTTCTAATTTGGGCTCGGGTTGGCAACGAGTGCAAATAAAAATAGAACATAAATGCCTAAAATGCTTATCTTTCCTTACAAGCATTCAATTTCTGTTGTTGTCCATCAAAGCTGGTCAGAAGCTGTAATTACAGTGGTGCTGTAACTAACTTGTGCTTACTGGTTCTGGAATTTGATGATAAAAAAATGGATTTTTTTTGGCTTTAAGACAAAGAGTTGATTGATTAAAAAGGGATTATGGTATATGTAGACTTCTAGGATGTTATGATTTCTTTATGCTTTGGACAAAACCCTGAGGAAAATTTAATAGATTTGGGTTGTCTCTTTAATTCAGGAGGCTGTAAATTTTTAATTTTAAATGTTCAATTATTTTGATCAGGATAAAGTGTTGTGCAAATTCAGGTAGTCTCCCTTTCCAGTTGTTCCTAACAACCCTTTCTGGTTATGGATAAATCTCCTTGCCAAAACTCATATTCAACTCGTTGGAGGGCTAGCCTTTATCTTGCCACCTAAGGTCTTTGGAAGCCATTTTAATCCCACTAAATTCCGCAGTTTAGTTAAGATAGAGTGGCTGAAACATAAGGTATTTAGTAATATCATGAATCTGAAGGTAATTAGTATTTAATGTCTAAAAGAAAAAAGTAAAAGCTTGCCAGTGTTCTAACTTGGAACAATTATATTTCTTTCCAAACAATTTTGTTTTTACATACTGCTAGCCTAGCAATGCATTAGAATGCATAAAAGCTCAGGAGATTTGAATGTGGGAATGGATAAATGTTTTGTAATGAGGTAGAGAATTATTGTTGACACTTAGAAATAAAAGCTTCACAAAATTATGAATGTCCAGATCAATAGCATTTTTTAATATTATAAATCACTTTGGCAATGCTTATGTATGTATGAACAGAGAAGTGATCTAATGATTATGAAATTAGATTTTTTTCTCTCTCTTTTTTTCTTTCTATTTTCTTCCTCATAGAGGCAGCCAAAGGACTTTGAGTAAACCACCATAACTTGCTAAATTTCCCCAACAGTGAAATTTTTAGAAGTATGTTTGAATGTTCTGAGTACAGATTATATTATTTCTGTGATTTTTTTTAGGCTGACCAGAGGTGACATCTATTTTTATGTGAAAAGTAAAAATGAAATGTTCTGAAAGAGTTAATTTTGATAACTGCTTTTTTACTTTTTAAGTAATTTTATTGTTTTACTTGTCTTCAGATGTTCTAAGATCTAATGGAAAACACAAGAAAAAAAATGAATTTCCTTTGCTAGATTATAATGAAAAAGACAATCTACTCCAAAAGAACTGGAGGTGAGAATATGCTTGGTTAGGGTTTTATCTAGCACATCGAGAGTTTAGAATGAAGAACATTATGTATAGAAGAAAAGTGGAATATTTATAGCTTCTTTGTTTTTTTAAAGAGATGAAATCTCATGGAAAGTTCTTTATATAGCTCCATTATGGGAAGAATCACCTGAAAAGATATTCAGAATAAAGGTATCATGGTCAAAAGCAAACATTTACCAATGCCTGACAGTTTTTGTCTTCTTTTAGGCAGTTGCCTTTCCTTTATTAGTGCCTGACAATTTGCTGGTTAGAATAGAACCGTAACTTATGCTTGTTTATTGCTTTAAAATTATGCCCACCTGAAAATGTCTAAAAGTGCAGAAATGTACCTTTTACAGGTTAGTCAATCTGAACTTAGAGCTGTAGGAAATTTAGGTTGCTAGGGGACTCTGTGGTCCTCCTTCAGAATTGTTTAAAAATTCTTGGCCAGTCCGTGAGCTCTCTGAGGGCAGGCACTGTGGTTATCTCTGCAATGTCTCCAACTCCTAACCCAGTTCTTGGCATGTAGTATATGCTCACTTTTCTTATCTAACTAACAAGTGAAGGATGGTGTAATCAGCTGCTACAGCTGCTAATGTTTCTGTTGCTAATATGTGATGCTCTCAGCACCCTGCGAGGCAAGTGTGAGACTTTGGGAGAAACAGCAGTTAACCAAACCATCATGCAAATAAATGTAAAATTCTTGCTTCACTAATGAGATTTTCATCTCTGTTATAGGAGAACAGCCCTCTTAGGTTTGTGAGCAGAACACAGTTTGTGAAAGAGCCCATAGTTTTCAGGCCCAGGTGGTGTTTTGAAATCTAATGCATCTAGTTTGGACTAGCTTCATGGTTTTTGCCATATACTGCTCTGTATTGGAGCAGTCTGTCTGGAAGAAGAAACAGTGCCTCGTGTGTGTGTGTGTGTGTGTGTGTGTGTGTGTGTAAGTGAGCTAGTTTTTAGTATCACCTCTGCTACCACCCATGTGACCTTGGCAACTCACTTAACCTCTAGGCCTTAGAGTTACTTCTTTCATGCTAAGGTTGGGATTCATAACTGCTATGGTCCCTTTAAACTTCACTACGCTCTTTGAATGCATGTTTTAGCACTTTTATTAGTCTGTATGTTCTTGGCGGTCAGAGGCTGTCATATGCATTTTTTTGTGTGTTTAAAAAAATTTTATTATAGATAACTTTGAACACACATGAAAGCACATAAATCAATAATATGAACCCTCAAGGATTTATCATCCAGCTCAACAATCAGTCCATCAACTCATGGCCAATTCTGTCCCATTCTGTTTTATCCTTTTACTTTCCTTATTAGCTGGAAGCAAATTTTAGATACTTGTTATTTAATCTGTAAATATTTTATACTTAGATATGTTCTCACCTCTCAAGCACATAACACAGAACCTTGTATACATTAGGTAACAAGAAGATAGATTTTGTGATGAGTTTGTGTCGTTTGTAGGGACATGGATGAATCTGGAGAACATCATCCTCAGCAAACTGACACAAGAGCAGAAAATGAAACACCGCATATTCTCATTCATAGGCGGGTGATGAAAAATGAGAACACATGGACACAGAAAGGGGAGTACTAAACACAGGGATCTATTGGGGGGAAAAGGGGAGGGCCAGTGGGAGGGGGAGGTGGGGAGGGATAGCCTGGGGAGAAATGCCAAATGTGGGTGAAGGGGAGAAGAAAAGCAAAGCACACTGCCATGTGTGTATCTACGCAACTGTCTTGCATGCTCTGTTCATGTACCCCAAAACCTAAAATCCAATAAAAAATTAAAAAAAAAAAACAAGAAGATAGATTTTGAATAAATGAATGAGAGTGGGTTGGGAAAGGTAAGAGATGAGGCACCTGAACCCCCACCCAACTGAAAAAATTGTTAACATTTAATTTCTCAGGGTAGTGGAGGAGGGGGAGCCAAGGCTTCCAGTTACTGGGAATCCTAATGTGGTATGGAATATTAAGGGTGACTTTATCTATTACATGTAATCACTGTATCGCTAGGGAGCCCCAGTATGTTCCAAGAAGTTAAGGTACATGCCAAAGATAAGCAAAAAATGGCACACAACCCTATGGGAGCATCTTGAGGAAATGTATTAGTATTAGGAGATACTAATAGGAGATAGCACAACCTGAAGGCCAGTCTGTGGTCATTTAACTTAATGGGAATTAAAAAATTTATGGTAAGGACTTGACACTTGATACTTCTCTTTATTTTAAATTTTCTATTACCTGTTTTCTAAACTTTCTTTATCCTTCACAGTAGTCTCATATCCTTTTTTTTCATTATTTCCCTAACAATACTAAAGCACTCAAGGGAGTTTTGCTGAGCATTGAATTAGGCATAATATATTTTAGCCAAAGTATGCATGCTTACTCTGGATGTATTACTTCCAAATGTGTAGACAATATAGTCTGTATACCACAAATAAAATAAAAACAAGAATTAAAAATTCTAAGTGAAAAACTTTCCTTTATGCACTAAAAGTATTGGGTAAGAATGTTAAAAGCAGCATTATATATAGTAAATACAAAACTGCAAATATATACTATATGTATACCTACTATGTATAGCAAATATAAAACTTCAACTAATCTAAACATCCTTTAACAACAGAATGGATAAGTGGAATGCTATTCAGTAATTAAAAAGCATAACCGATGGCTACCTGCAACAATATGGATATATTTTACAGACATAATGTTAAGTAAGAGATTATATGTTGCACTATGCCATTTATATCAGGTTCCAAAATAAGCAAAATAAGTCTGTGGAATCAGAAGTCAGGAGAGTGGTTAACGTGGGAGTAGGTGATGACTGGACAGGGTTTGAGAGAGGATTCTAGATACTGCAGGTGTTCTATATCTTGAGTTGGGTGGTGGCTTCACAGGTGTGCTCATTTTGTAAAATTTTATCAAGCTGTTCATTTATGATATGTACTTCAGTATGTAATTATATTTAAATGGAAAAGTAAAAGGAAACAATTTTTCCTTTTGATTACTTAGGAACACCTAAAGTTTAAACCTGTTATCATCCTGACCATATAAAAAATAAGACTGGCCTTACCAGTCAGATTTTCTCTGTGTCATAGGAGATAGATCTGATAGATTGAGGAAGAAGTTTTGGACATAAAAGATTTTTAACTGTACAAAGTATTTGTTTCTCTGCCTCATGGGATAATAACATCAATAAATTGTGAAATGATTGTTATAATTAAATACTAGTTGGATCCATCAGTGTTGGGAGCTATGGAAAACTTATCATTATTTTCTTACAGGGTGCATAATTAATGGGTCATATAAGGGAAGGTCCTGACTCAGGGTCGGAGTATGTATTATATTTGCCAAAGTAGTATGACAAGAGGACTTCAGAAGGTAGTTCAGCATATATTTAGTTGCAAGAGCAACTCTAAATATAAGTAGCATTTTAATACAATGGAAATAAACCTAGGGCTGAATTGATAGGTGAATATAGTAAAAAATGTATTGCTTTTAGAAAAGGGTAAAGCAACATGATACAACATGATACATGATATAAATAGTAGCACTTCTAGATAAGAGATCATTCTTCCTTATATCAAGTTGAGTAGGGCTATTTTTGGTATCATATGCAGAACTGGTCCTAGATATGATTTTGCTACTGGGAACATTTGGTTCTGGTGCCTTCTTTTCTTCTTTTTGTTTTATGTATAGGATGGTATCATATGAAAACAAAGCATTAACTTTGGAGTGAGACTGCTATTAGTTCAAATCTTGTCTCTATCTTAAGTTGCTTAACTTTGGTAAGTAACTTCTCTGACACTATTTTTTTATGTTTAAAATGAGGGTTCTCCAGGTGGCGGAGGTTGCGGTGAGCCGAGATCACGCCATTGCACTCCAGCCTGGGTAACAAGAGTGAAACTCCGTCTCAAAAAAAAAAAAAAAAATGAGGGTTCTACCTAACTGGGATATTTAATAGATATATCAATCAATCTTTAAATCTTTGTATCAGTTAGGACTTAGTTTGTCTGCATGAATCGGAAAACTCAAAATAACTGTAAACACACAATAATTTATTCCACTTATAAGAAGTCCAGAGAAGGCCGGGCGAGGTGGCTCATGCATGTAATCCCAGCACTTTGGGAGGCCGAGGTGGGTGGATCATTGAGGTCGAGAGATTGAGACCATCCTGGCCAACATGGTGAAACCCTGTCTCTACTGAAAATACAAAAATTAGCCGGCATGGTCGCAGGTGCCTGTAGTCTCAGCTACTTGGGAGGCTGAGCAGGAGAATCGTTTGAACCCAGGAGGTGAAGGTTTCAGTGAGCCGAGATCGTGCCATTGCACCCCAGCCTGGGTGACAGAGTGAGACTCCATCTCAAAAAAAAAAAGAAGTCCAGAGATAGACAGTCTAGCACTGGTACATCTGCTCCCTGAAACGACCAGCAACTTAGGCTCCATTTAAACTCCTTAATCTGACATTCTTAGCACATGAGTTCTATACTTAAAGCGGATGTTGGAGCTCCAAGCCATCTTCCTCATTTCAGACAACAGGAAGGAAGATGGTGCATCGGGCAAAAAGTTTAGCTTCCAGCTGAGTTCTCTCTCTTTTAGTTGTCCTAGAAGTCTTGTACAATACTTCTATTTTGTTTCTTATTGGCTAGAACTTAGCAACAAAAGCTCAGTTAGTAACAAAACCTCAGTTAGCAACAGAAGGAGGCTGGGAGATGTAGTCTTTTAGCTGGAAGAAAAATGGGGATTGGTTACTAAGGAAGAAGTGGAAAGTGATTTTGGGTGTCAAGTAGGAATCTCAGCCATGATATTCTTAACAAAACTCTTCAGGGCCCGCCTCCTCATCTTAGCAAATTCTATCACTATCCACCAGATAGCTCACTCTGAAAATTTGAGATTCATTCAGCAATCCTTTTTTCCCCTCATTCTCCATATCCAAATTAGCGGCAATCCCACAGTTCTAAAATACATCCTGAAAGGGAAAACTTCTGTTGCCCCTGCTAAACCCACAATTCAAATCACCATCAGCTCTCATCTGGATTCTTTCAGTTGCCTCCTGATTGACTCCCTGCTTCTTGTGTTGCTTTCCACAGATCATTGCTTGCATAGCAAACAGAATGATTTCCTCAAAAAATAATTGAGATGGTATTGTTCTCTTGCTTAAAGCCCTCCAACAGCTTCCCATTGCAATAAAAATAAATGTCACCTTATTTGGCTTATAAGGCCTGACGTGGTTTGGCTCCTGCCTCTGTAAACTCAGCATCTACCCCTTGTCCCCAGGTTCTCATGCTCCATCCATAGTGGCTACCTTCCTGTCCTGTGAATGTGCTAAGTATCTGCTACCTCAGAGTTTTGCTCTGGAATATTCTTCCTCCTTTTTGTATGACTATAACCGCTTATATATTAGTCAGGATTCTCCATAGAAACAGAACCAATTTTTAAAAATATTTTAAAGGAGATTTTATTATGGAGAATTAGCATATGCAAATATGGAGGCCACAATGTGCCATCTACAAGCTGGAGACCCAAGTCAGCTGGTGGTGTAATTCAGTTTGAGTCCGAAGGCTGAGAGCCAGAGGAGCTGATGGTATGAATCCCAGTCCAAAGGCAAGAGAAGATGAGGTGAGATTTCCCAGCTCAAGCAGTGAAACAAGAAACAGGGAAGGGGGAACAAATTCTTCTTTCTTCCATGTTTTATTCTATTCAAAATAAATGGGCTGCTGCCCACAGTGGGGAGGGCAATATGCTGTACTGAGTCCATTGATTCCAATGCTAATCTCATCTGGAAACCTTCACAAACATGCCCAGAAACAATGTTTAATCTCGACACCCCATGCATGGTCCCATCAAGTTGACACGAAATTTAACCATCATACTTTCCTACAGTTTAGGTTTCAGCTCAGACATTTTCCCCTCAGATAGGCCTTCTCTAGCCATCTTTCTAACTTCATGGCCAAGACCTCCTTTGTCTTGCTATTTAATTATATTTGATTCAGGGCTTGACATGTGCTTCCGCTCTGCTCCTCTAACTAGACAAAACATTTGGCCATGTGCTGAATTGACTGCAGTGTGGAGAAAGATGTATTCTGCATCATCAGTGGGGAATGAATGCATTGGCTAAAACCTCTTTGGAGGGTACCTGTACAGTATCAGTTAGAACTAAAAACTGTAGCTTCATGAGGGAAAGAGACTATGGCCATAGTAGGAGTTCAGTTAACTTGTTGAAATAATGGTGATTTTGAAGATTAAATCACAGAGTATCTGATTCAAGTTCTGTTTAACTTCCTTTTTTTCTCCATATCTTTCATCCCATATTTAAAGTGTCCTCTGCTAAGATGCCAACAAATATCCTTTAAAATAAAATTCCTGGCTGGATGCAGTGGCTCACATCTGTAATTTAAACACTTTGGAAGGCCGAGGCAGGCAGATCATTTGAGGTCAGGAGCTCGAGACCAACCTGGCCAACATAGTGAAACCTCGTCTCTAAGAAAAATACAAAAATTAGCCAGGTGTGGTGGTGTGTGCCTGTAGTCCTAGCTACTCAGGAGGCTGAGACAGGAGAATTGCTTGAACTGGGGAGGTGGAGGTTGCAGTGAGCCGAGCTCACACCACTGCACTCCAGCCTGGGCGACAGAGTGAGACTCAGTTTCAAAAAAAGAAAAAACAAAAGTAAAATTCTTCAAACGGGTGCATCCAGTTCCTGGGGGTAAGGTCTCAGAATAAACCTAGTGTCACTTTCTGGATTGTCAGTTTATTTGAAGGTTTGTGAAAAACAATTTATCAGAAAGAGTATGGACATATTAAAAATGTGAGGGCCTTTGGTATACTTTCTAGGTCCCTGGGGGAACAAGCTCAGTGTCTTTGACACTAGGGGCTATTTGATGAAATTTGAAAAGTACTATTTAAAGGTATTAGCTCTTGGGTGAATATTTGCATTTTTGATAGTTCTTCAATCCATCATGAAGTATTTTCTGAGGAATTATGCTTACTGGGTATAGCTCAGGGCAGTAGGTGCTAAATCAGTAAAAAGTCTTCCTGAAATGCTAGTGATAAAGCAATATCCAGGAAGCTTTAGGTTTGTATATTCTCTTCAGTTTGCAAAATGCTTTAACATACATTAGTTTATCTAATTGACTCCTCACATCAACCAAGTTGAGTATAGGCATGCAAAGAATTAAACACTTGAGCAGGGCGTGGTGGCTCATGTCTGTAATCCCAGCACTTTGGAAGGCCAAGGTGGGCGGATCACGAGGTCAAGAATCAAGACCATCCTGGTCAACATAGTGAAACCCTGTCTCCAACATAGTGAAACCCTGTCTCTACTAAAAATACAAAACAATTAGCTGGGTGTGGTGGTGCACGCCTGTAGTCCCAGCTACTTGGGAGGCTGAGGCAGGAGAATTGCTTGAACCCGGGAGGCGGAGGTTTCAATGAGCTGAGATCATGCCACTGCACTCCAGCCTGGCACCTGGTGACAGAGCAAAACTCTGTTTCAAAAAAAAAAAAGAATTAAACACTTCAAACAATATTACATTTAAAAATAACTTAAATGTTAATTCCCCAGAGTCCTGCATCCTTAGTTCCATTCTCTTAGGGGGAATTTCTTGGGATCTTTCCAGACATATTTTAATAAGCACATACCATCTCAGATCTTTGGGTGTGATCTCCATGTATATTTTTCATAGGCAAATGAAGGGTAAACTACAATATATTCTGCTTTTTATAAAAAGTATACTGTTTTACATTGGAGTGTAGTGCTTTATTGTATGAAGTACCCAAAATTCAGTTACTTCTGATGGGGGGACATTTGAGTTGTCTTCAGTATTTTGCTGTATTAGCTGATACTCTTAGGAACATCTTTTACATGATGATCATTTTTTTCTTTGCCCACATAAATAAAATAAATAACAAGTTCCAAGGAGAGGAATTGCTGTAAAATTGCCCTCAAAAAAATTTTAACCATACATCCTCCACTGATGGTATATGGGAGTAACTTTTTCCTACACCATGGTCAATTTGGTACATGAAAAATTTTAATTTTATTTTAAAACATTGCTTTTTTTGTATAAATTTAAGAGGTACAGGCACAGTTATTTTACATGGATATATTGGGGCTTGGTGAAATCTGGGCTTTTAGTATAGCTGTAACCCCTATAATGTACATTGTACCCATTAAGTAATTTCTCATCACTCATTCCCTCCTACCACTCCGAGTCTCCAGTGTCTATTATTTCGCACTCTATGTACTAGCACATGAAAAATTTAAAAAGTTTTGTTAATAAGGTAGGGGAGAGGCTTGGCTCAGTGGCTAACACCTGTAATCCCAGCACTTTGGGAGGCTGAGGATCACGTGAGTCCAGGAGTTCAAGACCAGCCTGGGCAACATAATGAGACCCTGTCTCTACCAAAAACTAAGTGCAGTGGTGTGTGGCTGTGGTCCCAGGTACCTGGGAGGCTGAAGTAGGAGGGTCATTTGAGACTGGAAGGTTGAAGCTGCAATGAGACTCTCTCTCTAAAAAAAAACAAAAAAAAACAAAAAAAGCTTATTTTTACTTGCAGTTATTTAATTGAGATTGAGCATTTTATTTTTTCCCCCACGTGTTTCAAAGCTATTAATAATAAATTTCTGTGTAAACTCTCTGGTTGTATTTCTCATCTAACTTCATTGAGTTGTTGGTCTTTTTCTTTTTTTTAATTTGTAACTATTCCTCATATGTTAAAGATAGGTAATTAACCCTTTCTGTTTACACGTGTTTCAAATATTTGTTCCCAGTTGTTTATGGTGTTTATGAGCAACCGTCTACATTAAGTTACGTGAAAGTGGGCTTAATCACAAACATTAACGGTTTATGAACTGGCAGAACAGCATGAAGAGAGAGCAAGAAATTGAGAGAAAAGGTCAGAGGTTGAGTCATGGGGCTGGTGCTTTCTAGCTTTATGATCTTGGACAACCACTTAATGTCAGGGGATCTCAGTTTCCTCAAGTTCAGAGTGGGGATAATGACAATACTTCCTCATAGAGTCATTAAGATTTAGTGACATTATGCATGTTAAAGTGCTCTATAAATAAGACTATATGAATATTAGTTTTTATTACTGATTTGATAACTGAACTATCTTGCATATTGGAGTACAGTACTTTGGGAAGCTGAAATTTCTGTCTTCAATTATCTTTTGAAAGACAAAATTAAGTTTTATACCTCAGATATTTTTCTGCTTTTAGCATATATCATGATTCCTGCTGATTCCGTAATTAAGGAAGACAAATTTCTTTCTAATATTGAAACTAGAAATAAAAGATATGGTTATTAAATGCTAATGAATAATAAATGATGATATGATACTAGTATTGAAAAGTAAATTAATTATATTAAAATGGTAAGGCTATATCTTATTTCCTTTTTTAAAATGTCAGTGGAAAAATTTGCTAAAATGCAGTTCTTTCATTTGCAGTTTTTTTAGACTATAAAAATAGGATGTTTTCAGTTTTGTGTGTGTGTGTGTAGAAAGAATGTGTAGAATTAGAGCTTTAAAAATTTTTGATCTGGAAACAACCTAGACATCATCTAGCCTTGGGCTTGTGTTTACCGATGAGGAAGTGAGAAATTCTGAGAAGCAAAGTGACTAGCAAGTCATGTGACCATTGCAGAACAAAAGGGAAGAAATCTGTCTCCTGTCTCCTGGCCTAGGGCCACTTTCACCGTCCTATTCATTTTGGATGCATAGGTTGCATGTCTGCTACATGTTCAGGGTTTATGACACCAGCTATACTCCTTAAACTTGTTAAATGAACAGCCATGGTTTTTGAGCATAGAAGGTAATAAGTTATACTCAAATTTTGCTCTTTTGGAGATATGATTTTGAGCTGCTTTAACAAAAAAAAATAGGCTTTAAAAACTCTTCTATATGTCTGCTTACGCTGAGTTTTAATATTCTATTAAAACTTTCAAAGGTTTTTTTCCTATTTACTTCAGGTTTTCATAGAGTAAGCACATTTTAGAAGAACCCAAGAAGCAAATTTGTTAAAGTTTTTAAGCTATAACAACACACATTTTCTGTTGATATTCAAGCATAATATGCATTTAAAGCATTCAAAGTTGATTTAAACTGTAATAAAATCCTAGCAT